CTCTCTCTCTCTCTCTCTCTCTCTCTCTCTCTCTCTCTCTCTCTCTCTCTCAGCTTCATGTCTTACCACTTCTCTACTTTTGCATTCAGCATTACACTTTGACCACTGCCTATTGTAGTACCAGGACTCTAATAAGAACTTATACACATTATCTCTTTTGGTCCTCATAATAACTCCATTTAGTAGAAATTATTATCACTTTCATTTGCAGACAAGGAGACTGAAGGACAGCAAGATTACATGACTTGCCAAAGGTCATACTGTAAATAGCAGAACCAAGATTTGATTCCAGAGAGATAAATTCTAAAGCCTAAATAGCTATGTTTTCTTAAATTAACAATTCTATGCCTCCAAACATTCTCTTTTGTCTGCATGGTATCTCCTCCCATCTCCAGCCCTCCCTACCCCTTTTTGGTACCAGGATCAAACTTGGGTTCTTGTGCTTGTGAGGCAGGTGGTGGAACCACTGAGCTAAATCCCTGGCCCTCCAGCCCCTTTTTGAGCTAATTTCTACTCCTTCCTTAATATCCAGGTTGAATTTTACTTCTGAGACGTTTTCTCTGACACCCGTGGTCTAGGCAGATGTCATTCCTCTGTTAACCTCTAGTACAGACATATCAGACAACTACAACCACAATAAAATGTAATAATAAAAGAATAGTAACTGTAGTAATTTGCCCCACCTCCACCAACAATTAGTTTCCCAAAGGCACAGATGAGTCTTACTCAACTTTCTATTTCTAACATTCTGTTTGTTAGGTGAATGTTAGGTAGAATGCTCTGTTTGTTAGGTGAATGGATGAATGAACCAATGACAGAAGGTGAGTAGAGGAAAATGTTTACAAATACCTCAAAGGCTTACTACAGTGTAAACACTGAAAAATGAGAAAGCAGGATTGAGAGAAAGTAAAATTCAACTAAACAAAATACAAGCAGGTCCTTCAGTGGTTTGAAAGGCCTCTTCAAAGTCTGAGTTCACTGTCGTCATAGAGTACAGAGACCAAATACTCAAAGTAACCCCTGCATAGCTGCAAAGTTGCAAGATCAAAGTTGAGAACAGTGTCCTCCCTAGTCAGAGAGAAGCTCACTATCAGATGGCTGACAGAGAAGCCTAGAATGTAGTAAGCAAAACAAAGACCCATGGGAAAATCTCCCATGGAAGTCAGAACCAATGCAAGGTTTTAGAAACTAAAGAGGAAGCCTTTTGCTGGTGCAAAAAGTACATTGAGGAATAAGAGAAAGCAGCATAAACAAGATCTTAGTCTTTTTGAAGATGCTCATCAGAAACATTACAAATTGGATACATCCTTTAGAATAAATCAATAGATTTAGGCTTCTATCTTTCAATGTTTATATCATATGCCTCTTGTTTTATGTAGTTTTCCCCAATGTCTGATCATATCCTTTGTCCTTGGAATCCCTTCAACCTTACTGGTTTTCAGGACCCTTCTCACAGACTACTTTGATTGAAGTTATATATATGCTCAAGAAACTGTGAACTTACTGAAGGAGCGCTGTGTTTTCAGGCCTGGCTTTAAAACAAACATTCAATATATACTTCCTGGACTGAGGGAAAGCCACTCTGTAAATGTATAGTCAGCAAGACACTCCTAAGACAGGAACTATAATTGAGTAACTGCACTTGAGAGTCCTGGCTTTGAAATGAGTGGGGGAAAAAAGGAAAAGACACAACTGGAAGGATCTAGAAAAATGTGCTAAAGCACCAGGTACTGAATTAGAATGCCATCCTAAAACAGGTGAAGTAGTACAGCCTCACAGAAAGATAGGATCAGCCTTGAGTCAGCAGATGAGTAAACAGTGGTACCTCGGTTTATGAACTGAATTTGTTTTACAATTTTGGGGAGGATGGCTGTGATTGTGTTTGTGTGGAGAAGATGGCTGTGATTGTGTTTGTCATCTGATGTGGAGTTTGCAAATGGAAGCACAATTATGCTGAATGCTTCTGCCTGTGAAGCAAATTGTTTGCATATAGAAATGTTCATGAACTGAGGTATTACTGTATCTCAGAAGATCATGCATTGAAGGGAGACATAATCAGGAGGAAAAGTTAAACTTTCACAAAGTAGAGCTACAGAGAGACAGTGACAGATCTCAAAGGAAGACAGCACACAACCTACAGGGGTCCACATGAGTCAGAAAAAAATTAACCTTGGGTGAAAAAGACTCTAGAATAAAGAGAATTCTATCACTCAAGCAACCCCCAAACCATGCTCAAATTTAAGTTTACTTTCTTTAGTTGCAAAGTAAAATTTATTGTCACTTTTTGTTCAACTCAGGTATGTAATGTTTTGTCCAAGGGTCCCTGTCAATCCACAAATGTCTTTCACAATCCAAGTGGTCCACGCTTCACAACTCAGTCTCCCTTGAGAACATCAAGGACTTTGGCCTGAGCTCCTTCCCATCATGATTCTAGCAAGGAATAGCTGAAGCTTCTGAGAGCCACTGTCTGCTGGCCTTACCTGATCCTGAACCTCTTTTTTGTGTCACCATGCCCAGCAGATCCCAAACCTCTTACCAGCTGGTACTGGCGGCTGTATAAGTCATGGCAGTTGTTGAAGATATATTCATATGTAGAGTTCAAACAGGCCTTCACACAATCCTTTACCACCTGGCTGGCTCTTGGTGGACTCTGCAATTCTTGCACCTGCCAATTAGTAGAAGAAATAACAGGCTCAGGATCCTGCTCTCCTAAATGTAATACCCTCCTCCTAGCACTCTCCCAATCCCACTCGAGATTCCTTCATATCTTTTTGGGTCCCTAGACCTTGCTCTGATGAAACTGAGGACAGCTGATAGGGAGAATGTCCAGACCATCCTCGTTGAATCAAATTTATATGTGCTTCTCAGACAGGTTATGGAAATGTGAGTTTTGAGGTGATGAGTTCTGTAGCCTCAGACTCTGCTTGATAATTCTTACTCTCTGTGTGTTTGTGGCCAGGTTCTTAGCCCAGCAACAACCAGTCCTGCCCATTCTTACCTTCATTCTGAAGAAAGTAATGCTGGTCAGCAAATCCACTGTGGATTTTAAATCTTGAAGCCGCTCAGGGCTCCCGGCAGGGAAGTTATTCTGTTGTAAATCAAGCAAGTGTAAGAGAGGAACACAGGAATAGGAAAACCTTTTCCACAAAAAGCAATGAAATCAAACCCCACTAGGATTCTCTGTAGTTGAGCTAGGCAAAAAAAAAAAAAAAAAAAATGCTGTAACATTACAGCTCTGCCTCTTTCTATTCTATTGATGCAGACAGGCCCTTACTCAAAACAGAGATTAATAATCACAGCTAGAAAAACCAGCACATCCAACTTCCCATGCAATGTGTGAGCATTTGTTCAAATGCACAGATACAGACACATATAACTTTCTTGGATGAAGATTCTTACACCTGGTGAATTCTTCAAAAGTCAAAATTTAACTATATATTCTGGAATATAAGTAGAGCCACACTACAAACAAAACTGCACTCCAGGACCTGTTCTTCTCCTGTTCCGGAGCCAGCAGATGACAAAGTTCTGAGCAGAACTTCTTTGGAATGAATTACTTAAGATTTTCCTGACTGCCTCACTTCATTCCCCTTAGCATGAGTTTTAGGAGGAAGCTGTCATGGAGAGCTGAAGGGAGACACCAAGCCACTCTTCTCCTCTTTCATAGTCAGTTTTTTTAACATGCAAATGGCTACTTATATGTCAAAAATAAGATATGCAATCATTTCTCCATTTTGCATGCAAATGGAAGAAATTAAAGTACAGATAATTAAAATCTCACTTTTTAAAAAACTTTGAGATGATTTTTATACTTACTTTTTGAACATCAATTTTTTTCCTGGTACTGGGGACTATACTTACTTTTTAATGTGTGTATATGCCTGTCCTGGAAATTCACAACATTTTAAGCAAGTAATGAAGCTATTCTAAGATACCCTGCCCCATCTCAGGTATCTACGTTCCTACTGAACCTATTTCTACTCTCCATATTACAAATGGGCAAGACTTCTGAAACAACTTACTGTACTTGCCCAAGCCAAGCTATTCTTTTTTAAATTTTGGATTTTTTTTTGTTTTTGTTTGTTTTTGAGACAGATTCTCACTCTATTTCAGACTGGCCTTGAACTTACTATGTAGTCCAGGCTGGCACTGAACTCATGGTGATTCTCCTGCCTCAGCCTCCTAAGTGCTGGGATTATAGGTGTGTGCCACCACAGCTGGTCAAGCTACTTACTCTTTCTATCCCAGCCAGATTCGCCTATCTCCCTGAAAATATGAGGAGAGTACAGAAAAACACAAAATGAAAATGTAATTAAGTATCTCATTTTTTATTTTTTGAGAAAGGATCTTGCTATGTTGCCCAGGCAGGCCTTGAACTCACAAACCTTCTGCCTCAGCCTCCCAAGTAGCTGGGATTACAGGTGTGTGCCACCATCCCTGGAAAGCATCTAATTTTTTTAAAAGGTACTTTTGGAAGAAATTATCATCAGGAAACTCAATGAGAATGTCATGAGAGGGTTCGGTAGTGATATACGAAGGATTAGAAAGTCAACCATCTAAAAAAAAGCAGCCATACCTGCTATTTAAACAGTGGATGGTCCTTTGAGTTAGGAGAATCACAGGTGTTAGTGGCATTGGCCACTCTTGTGGGTGTAACAATACAATAATTTTCCCTGCCTTTGATCTTTATAGCAAGACTGGACTATGTCTTTCTAGGCAGAACTTGACATTATCTATTATCCCCACCCCACAACCACTGCTTTGACTTACCCTGTATGTAGAGAGATCGATTCTCAGTGAGTTGTGTAGCTGGTCCAGCAGTTTTACAAATCTCTCTTTCTGAGGATAAGAAACAAGCAATGGGGAAGACAGATTATCTGCTTCTGATCCCCCTTAACTATAGCAAAAATAGAATGATTTTCAGATGAGTAGAAAGGGTTGAGAAGTAACCTTTTCTTTTCTTTCTAGCAACATATCCTATCCCACTCCTGCCATGCAGAGAGCAATAGACAATACAAGAAAAATACATGATCCCCGTTCCACCTCTTAGCAGCTCTGTCTCAAACTAAGGAATCTTTTCACAATGACAAGGGAAAAGCCAAGTCACTGGGAGAGAAAACATCTCTTTTTATACACAAGTTGACAAACATCATGTATGCATCTCTATCCCTTTAGGGAGAACTCATCTTAAGTCAGATGAAACTCTAAGCATATTCTCCAACTTGTTCCTCTCCAACTTGTTTCTGATAATGAGATCTCTGAACTTATTTTTGGCAATGCATGGCAGGTACATAGCCACAGTCTAGCAGAAATCATGGGCAAAATTGTATTCCAAACAGAGTCAGACAGAAATAAGGGGGACCTTTCTTTAAGTCACTTTCATCCTAATTTCCCTTACCATGTACCTTTTCTATGCTAACATAAAGCATATATTATTTTAGTACTTGACTTTCATAAAAAGTATAATTAGCCAGGCATGGCAGTGCACACCACCTGTACTCCCATCACTCGGGAGGCTGAGACAGGAGGATCACTGTGAGTTCGAGACCAGCCTGGGCTACATAGTGAGTTCCAGGTCAGTCTCAACTACATAGTGAGACCCTGTCTAAAAAAACCCAAAAAAAAAAAAAAAATGTATAATTAAATGTGGAATCATCTGCCTGAAGGCTGTTGGCATAATGTTCCTAGAATTCATATACTGATTATTATCATTAGATATCATGTCATTTCACACTGGCACGAGATAGAACAGGCATGTGATTGGCTTAATAAATTATATTAATTCATCTATATTAGTAACAAAAAGTGATGCAGTACCAAAGAATAGAGCTCAGAGATTCAATAGATTGTGGGGGGAGGGAATGAGTAATTTTATCCTTGCAAAGGTAAGCTTTGTGATAGGTCAGAAATATTTCACTTGGTTTAATTGAATTTATGTCAGATGGCATTATGGGTTATAACTCAACTTTTCAGTCACCTCAACACTGGAAAGGGCACAAAAGGGAAAACATTCCAGACACTGGAAAAGGGATACATTCAGGCACATACTGTCATCCTCCCTTAGGCATCAGCTCTATATGAAATTAAGAGGTATGAGTCTGTCACAGAGAAATGGAATAATATTATGAAAAGTCCATTTGTGGACCTGCAAGGCTGAAGAACATGGTGACTTAAACAAGTTGTTAGCCCAGAAAGGTTCCTCAGGAGCCCAGGTGGCAGCCTTCCTAAATTACAATGGTGCTATCACTTTCATGTGTCTGAGGACAGTCTATGGTGTGTAGTCTACATATCCATAATGAAAGAAGGTCCATCTACCAAAGTGGCAAGTATCTGAATTTTAGGCATTATTAATCAACTCTATAGAACTGGCTAGAAAAAAACTTTATTGAAAACAAATGGAATGTACATGTTTATATCATACTCACCCCAAAGTTGGAGGCTGCAAAGCGATCAGATGCAGAGACATTAGTGGAGGCGGTTGTGTGAGCATAGTAAGCATTGATGTTGGCCAGTAAGGTGCTCATCACTGCTGGCACACCAGGACACATATACTTGGATGACAGACATGCAAAGTGCCTGGAAAAGACAGTACTCTCACTCTCAAAAATCCTGCAGGACTTTCAGCAAAAGTCAAGTAGTAAGCCAGTAAAATTTAGTAGAATCAGCATAGCCAGGGCAATCACTATCTTTGCTTATGCAGGATGCTCCCTGTGTGCAGCCCCAGTGGCAGCCTTGCCAGTTACTTCTCATAGAACAAGGAATTCCTGTCATAGTAGTTTTGATTGACTCCATCCACATTTGCTTTCCTTACAGTTCAGCGTCTTTTCTGACTCCCAGGCCAGTCTAGGACAGCTTGCTGGTCACCACGTATTTGCTTGAGCACATACACGCCCTGTCTGCTCAGCCTGTGATGTCTGGACAGATGTGTCCCTGTTTACCCTCCCATGCCCTTTCCCCTTCCTATCCTTGAACTTGGTCCCTACGTTACCGACAAACACATTATCTTTCTACATACATCTGTCTTGAAGCGTGGAGGAAAATAAAGACTCATAGTGTATGCTACCCACCTAAGTACCTATCATGTCAGTATGCACTCATTAACCACCAAGGATTAATAACTATTTCCCAGAGCCCCAAGGGAGTCTCACGTCATGGCCTGATATATGGACTCAATGCCATAGCGCATGGCAAATTCATCCACAATTTCTTGGGCTGTCTCATCAAAGTACACCTTCCATGCATCATCTCCTCGAGCCTCAGGGATCTGGACTCCTCCACTGCCCTGAATGTCTGTGAGGTAATGGAAAAGGTTCTGTAGAATACAGAGCAGAGAAAAGGAAAAGGTTAAATACATTAAAAAGTAGGGGCTGAGAATGGTGGTACATGCCTATAATCCCAGCACTCAGAAGCTGAGGCAGGAGGATGGAGAATTCAAGGCTAGCTTGGACTACATAGTAAGACACTGTCTCCAGGAACCAAAACAAATAAAAACAAACAAAACACAAAGCTCTGTGGTAAAGTCCAAGAGAATATGAATTGGACGCTGTAGAAATTTTGTTCTTTGAGTCATTGCTCAGTTCCTCCTGCAGCCCTCTTAGGCTGTTCTCAGAGAACCAAGTCTGGGCTCAGTCCCCTGCACTTTCCAGGGTAGTACATAAGCCAAGAACAGAACAAAAATCAGGCCTCAGATCTTCAAACACCTAGCAATCCTACTTATGGTCAAGGGCCCCTCCCTGCTTTCTGGCCTCCTCTATCTACAAAGGACTGGCTCACCTCATGCAGGCATGTATACTGCACGTGGTATGGGGCCACCTTCTCCTCCCCCTTGATCTCCACACTAATCTGTAGTCGGATAGCCCCTGAAACGGCTGACTTGTCTGTCCTCTTCTCTAGAAAGGAAAAGAATTAGAGATTAACATCAATGCAATCACAGACAGTACAGACAGGCCCATCCTGGCTTAACCCAAAGAAAAAATGGCAACAATCCAAGTGTTCACCCAAGAGAGTGGACTCACTCCAATGACCATATATTCCACAAATACTCCTCTACTGGCTGAGTGGGAGAGCACCAAGTGGCCAGCTAAAGGCATTTGGGATGAGGAGGAAGACTAAAGGACCTTCTGAAATCTGGAAAATATTTAGCTTGGGTGAGTTCTAGCCACTGCCACTCCCCTATCTCCTATCCCTACCCATAGTCAGCTTTTGGAAGGCAAGGCAGGCTCTTTAGGGAGGTATGCTTTGGGGACTAATGGTTTTGGAAGATAGAAGTTTTCCCAGGTTCCTTCTTCATAACAACTTTCTGGTCCAGTTTTCTCACCCAGGTTGTACCAGACATCCATCTCGCCACTCAGTGTCCGAACCTCAATGATGGTTTGGCCAAGGAAATCATCAGACTCTCGCTTCAGTCGCTGCTTTACTCTTGATTTGATGTCATCATCCTCATCCCACACACGTACCTTAATGCGGTCAGAGGAGTTGTGGCACTCACTGTGAGAGAGACAGGCTCTGTTAGGGACAGACCCAGTATCACCACTCCTATCACTTCCAGTTCTCTCCCAAAAGCTCCATCAACTACACTTAAAGCCCTGAAAGAGGAAAAAGAGGAGTCAGCAGCCAGTGGGTACTACAGTTCCAAGTTAGGCTATTCCAGCAAATGGCTCTTTACTCTTCAGCCTGGGAGGCTCTATATACTATTATACAGGACTTATTTCCCTGGGACAAAAAGGTGGGGAGGAAAATGCATAATTAGGATAAATTCTGACTTCCTACGCAACTAGCTATATCAGCAATACCAACAGAACAGCTAGATATGTCACAAAGCCTTAGGAAAGAAATTGCTAGCTCTCTCCTTAGTCCAAGATGAAGTCAACACAGATGCTAGATATGCTGGGTAGGTCTACCTAGTCATATCTACTTAGTCTTTCATCTAACTCCATTTATCTATGTGCTTGCTGGACTTCTATCATCTTTTACTATTCCTTGAATTGCCATTTCCTCTATGGTGTATGCTTTAGAGGAGTTGCCCAGGTCCCCTTTCATGCTTTTCTACCCAGCAGTTGCTTTCTAGACCCTATTCCATTACCCAAAAGTTGTACTCAGTAGAATTTTCTGCTCCTTTCCCTATACATTCCATTAAAATACTAACATTTAACTAATGGTCTACTAAAAAATAACAGACAAATCAACAATGAGTTTCTTGAAGCTACAGATTGCCTTATTCATTTTGAGATACAAAATACCATGTGCAGTGTCTTGTAAATAATAGGAATTTAAGTTTACTCAAAGTGGACAAAAATTATCACAGAACCAGTTCATTTAAAATTAGTCATGGACCAGGGATTTAGCTCAGTGGTACCACGGCCTGCCTTGCAAGCGCAAGGTCCCAAGTTCGTTCTCCAGTACCAAAAACAAACAAAACAAAAATAAAATAAAATTAGTCATAAGTATCTGAGCAGAAACAATTTACATCCTTAAATAGGTGCCTTTCCCAGTAACTACTGCCCCTGGATCGGATTTCACTATACTTCAAATCCTTTCCATCTGAATTCTTTGAGGAGCCAACAGAAAGACAACTTCTCCATAGCCAGACTGCTCACTGATTCAGATCCAAAGTCTTGATCCTGGGCCTTGGAAGTGGGCAGACAAAGCCTCTGAATTCTCTAGATATTGAGTCCTATGCTAGAGTTTGCCATTTTTCAAACCCATCCTCTATTCATATGAAACAGTATATAAGAAATTGACATAAAGAAAAAGGAACAGAGATGGAAGCCAAGTCAAGAAGAAAAGCGTCTCTTAAGGAAAATGGACTTCTCCAGAACCCAGATTTCTAGCAACAAACCAGAATTATCCTATTGTAGGACAAAGATTCTTTTCTTATGCCTCAGAAAAGCTCAACACTTTCTAGGAAGGGAGGCAGGATGAGGCTCAGAGGTACAATAGGGTGGTCAATCCCTGGTTTAGCCAGCAAACAGTAGTAGTCTTTCCAGTGCTAGAAAAGGAAATATAGGGTAACCTGGGACCCTGAAAGAGCCCTAGTTAAGACAAGGCTTGGCAAAGTACAAAAGTTTTTATGAAGAAGACCAGAGAAAGAATGGTTACTACCCAGGTGAAGCATGCAAGAAATGAGATTTATCTATTTATAGCCTTTGTTCCCAATTGTAGGACTCAAGCCTAGAAAAACAAGATGTAATACCACATCCAAAATATATACAGTCTCAGTAAGACAAAGCTCTCTAAGTCTTTTGTAAGTGACTTACAAATGGAACTTCTCCTCCCAAACAGGATTTAAGTTTCCAAAAATGGTCTTGGTACGCTTCTTGGTTTTTCCAACTTGCACAGTCACATACGGGTCACTGGATCCTGTTTTGTCCTTGGCTTGCAGGCCCTGGGCGCACACCACTGCAAACCAAGCACATATAGAAGGCTTCAGAGTACACTCAGAGTTAAGTCAGGAGCCCTCTAGAGCACTACTCATCAGCTCTTCATTTTAGAGCAGCCTCCCCATACTCTGCACAATAAGCCTAATCTCACATCTCCACATCTATCCTTAGTACTAGGCCACCAGCTTTTCTCTCAAAGGATAACACAAGAATCTCACCTCTCACCCTAATCCCTAACTGACCACTTAGCCTGTCTGATACACACAGGCTTCAGCCCTACTCATCCTGTTAGTAAATCACTGCTTACTCCCTGGTCATCTGCTTGCCCCTTCCCACATATCCCAGCTTTTACCACAAACCAAATCTATGGTGTCAGGTTGTTACCAGATTCTTGCATTATGGTTTGTATCAGTTTTGCCTCTCCCAGCCAGAGTCTAGGCAAGAAGGAGTGATAAACAGTGCCCTCCTTCCTTCCCCTCAGTTCAGTCCTTAGACTTGCTCCCTTATACTACAGATGCTTCTTCCCCAGGCTCTTTCCCATAGTCCAAGCCTCTCTGTCCCCTCAAATTTTTGCATGCTTACCAGTGATGGTAATCTTGGCTGACCATTTAGAGGTGCCATCCAGTACACTCTGCTTCACTGTTTTCATCTGCTGCACATGGGCAACTTTGCTCACTGTGAAGACATCCCTGATAACTTCAAAGATCTCTGGTTTATTTCGCTCTCGGATTTTCATGCGGTCCTTCATAGCCATGATAATGTTCTGTGTCCGGTCTTCAGCTCCATGTTTACAACTCTTTTCTGCAGCTCCTGAAGGGTGGCCAGAGATAGAAAGTAAGCCTAACCCATAAACCACCCATCAGATCAAGATCAATCTGAGAAATAGGCCCTAGGAGAGGCTGTGAAACAATGGAGGAAGCGTAAGGAAATTAGGATATCTCTGGGAAAAGTCAATCACTGTGGGCTCTGCTGACCTGGCAAATGAAAGATAGCAAAATCTTTGTAACTGGAACAAGGGTTCATTACACTATTCTACTTACATATGTGGAATGTTTTCATCAATACTTTGACTCTAAGGTCAAAATATCTCCAATGGGTGTCTTAGTTATCAGGTAGAGGTTGTGGGTAAACACACCAATCCCATCCATAATTGCCAAGCATGATCTAGATCCTAGATTTCAATGTGGCTACTCTATGACCAGGTTCAAATCTGGCTCCACCGCTCCTAGATTGGCAAACTGGATTTTTCTTCTTTTTTTTTTTTGTACCGGGGATCAAACTTGGGTCCTTGCACTTGCAAGGCAGGTGGCAGAACCACTGAGCTAAATCCCCGGTCCCGCAAACTGGATTTTTCTTCTTTTTTTTTGTACCGGGGATCAAACTTGGGTCCTTGCACTTGCAAGGCAGGTGGCAGAACCCCTGAGCTAAATCCCCGGTCCCGCAAACTGGATTTTTCTTCTTTTTTTTTGTACCGGGGATCAAACTTGGGTCCTTGCACTTGCAAGGCAGGTGGCAGAACCACTGAGCTAAATCCCCGGTCCCGCAAACTGGATTTTTCTAAGAGGAGATAACCTCTTTTTTTTTAAAACATTCATTGGTACATTTTAGTCATACATAATAACACTCATCATAGGGAGTCTGCACCTGTACATAGTACACCCTGCCCCCTTTTTCCCATTTCCCACCTCCCCTCATGCCTCTTCTCCTCCCTATGTACAAAAGCTTTGTTTCCATTTTTCCTTCTATTTTCATTTTTCTTGTCTCTTCCTTCTTTCTCCCTCCCTTCTTCCTTGTTCCCCTTCCCATTTGAATATTTTCTTCCTATTTCCCAATATCTATGACACATTTTAGTATTGATGCTTATCTTTCAGGGTCATAGTAAGCATTATTTTAGAAAGCATAAGTAAAACATAACCCAGAGCCAGGGAGCTAGCAGGTACAGTGATACCTGGGCTCACGAACTTAACTCTTTCCATGATTCTGCTTGCAAAACCAAATTGGCTGAGAACTGAATGAAGTTCAGTGGTTAGGTTCAATGTTGACCTTATGGAGAAATTTGGTTCAGTTCTTGTTCAATTCAGTTTGTAAGCAGAATTATGGAACGAATTAAGCTTGTGAATGCTATATTCAATAAATGGTCACTATTATTGTTTCCTTCTTGTACTACAATCCTTAAAGATATTGTTATTATGACTTAGCTCTGAGTAACACCTCAGAGACCTGGAGAGACAGAAATACTTTCCCGTATCCTCAACACCTGCTTTTCCTGGGGTCTAGCCACAGTGAGTACAAGTCCAGCTGGAAGAGAGCAGGTGATAGGAAATCTTAACACATCACAACGCCTACCAGGAGGTTGGTGCTTTCCCTAGTCCCATGCTTTCTACTCCATCAAGTGGAGCCATGTATGTGGACAGGCATGGGTAGTCTAGCACACTTTCCTCCCTCAACTTGAAACTTCTATTCCTGGCCCTGCTGTCTGTCCCTCACCCACCATTAACTCCATCTACAACCAAGCCAAGGAAAATATGCTGCCTTTCCTGGTCAGAGAGTCTAGGCCTCAGAAAGCTTCTCTGTGAGGCCTGGAACCTCACAGAACTCTGTCTCTGTCCTCATTAGCTTCAGTCCCTCACTAAACATGCTCTAGTTATTTGAGCAATCCACTATATTGTACATGCTACTTAAGCTCAGCCTCTGGGATCAAGTAAACACTGAAAGAGGTTCTAGCTGTACCAGAAGACTATAGAAAGCTCAAATAATTTTTCCTAAAGGTGCTTAAGAAGCTACCAAAAGACTTGCTATTTGGAAAGGCAACATCCCTTGATTCAATACTCTACCTTCTCTGAAAAAGGACTTCAGAATCATGTAGACTGGAGGAATGATGTTTACAACTCTTTTCTGCAGCTCCTGAAGGGTAGCCAGAGATAGAAAGTAGGGCTAACCCATAAACCACCCATCAGATCAAGACTCTTCACTGCTGATTATTTTGGAGAGGCCCTGCTGCCCCTGATCCCAAGCCCTAATCCCACATAGCCACTCACGCTGCAGACAGTCGGCGTTGAGCAGGTCCTGGCACTTGTCATGGCACTTGACTCCACACTCACTGCAGCGCATGCCCTGCCGGGCAATGCCCCACAGCAACCCTTCACACTCGTAGCAGTAGGTTGGGGTAGTAGCTGTCCAGACTTCAAAGTTGTGGGGTGTGGTACATGAGATGGGGTAGATTAAGGCCTGAAGGGTTTTCTTATACACATGAGATTTCTGAAAGACACATATCCCATCACCCACCAATGACTTTAGGACTGCTGAGAGGTTTAACAATGGAGACCCTATGGGGCAATCAGTGTTCTGGTTTTTCCCTTGGCAGGGGAAAAGAAAATCTAGCCTTGCCCAGCCTATCCTGGTGGAAAGAAGTCCCCACTACAGTGTGCCCTGAGTTGTCCAACACAGGTCTGACCTAACGTTGGTTCTGAGCCTCATCCCAGCATTCATACTTTCTATGGAAATAGAGGGTATACAGGGTCCAGTGGTCATATCCTTCAACATGAGGCTTGAGTCTGGACTCTTGCCTCTTCCTAAATAGAAAACTGAGATCTGATGCTATGTGGTTTCATCAATGATATGTGCCCAATACTGTGAATTTCCAGTTAGTGTGGCTACAGAGATGACCATGGTCCTAAGGCTAGTAGACTCAGGAAAGCCCTTGGGTCACTTACCAGCTCTTCATCCTTGAGAGAAGTACGTGTAGCCATTGCAGAAGTAATCCCTGCCTTCCGGGACTGGACCAGTGACTATGAGACAAGATTTGCGGTCAGTCCTGGACACCGCCAAGGACTGGAGAGATCCTGGGAGGAAACTTCAGTGACCAAAGCCACTTGGCTAAAATTTATTCTATGTTATTTACAAAAACTACCCCTGGGCAGAAGGTAACAAGTGTCCCAGGTTAAGATGCAAAATAAAGGTATTTCCTTCAGGGTCTCTACCATCCATAGGGCTTCTCTTTCCCTCACTATTCTTAGGTATGCTGCCCCACAGAGACTCCTTATATATAGGAAGGGAAAAGAAAACACAAAGCTTAGAATCACAGTAGGAAACAAATTATAAGAATAAAAGAGAGCCAGGCGTGGTGGTGCACGCCTGTAATCCGAGCACTTGGGAGGCTGAGGCAGGAGGATGGAGGATTGCTGTGAGTTTGAGCCCAACCTGTGTGTGAGTTCCAGGTCATTCTCAAAAACCAAAAACCAAAAATCCAAAAAAAAAAAGAATAAGACAGACATAACTCTTTTAGAGTTACACTCAAGAATCATTACCACAAACAAAGATTTCATGCTAATTGCTATACCTTGGTCCCTCCCCATGCCCAATCCCTGGAAAGCTATGGAGCCCGTATGAGCAGAACACTTGGAAGTGAAAAGGACAAGGTAATCTCAGTGAAATCGAGCAAGGCAGTCTGAGAGCTGGGGCTGACCTGCGAGCTGGTCCCATGTATCTCTGTTAAGATACATGTCAATTTAGAGGTAGCCCTTGGACAGATTGAGGTCACAATATCAACCTATGCAGGAGGATCAGCTGGGAAGGGCCCAGTTATTTGGGATACGGACTCTTAGAGGATGGGGAGGGGTTCTGGAGACACTCACCATAGCCTGTGCAGAGGAGAGCAGGGAAAGGAACAACATGTTGTTAAAGCCCCCGCAAGGGCATGAAAACTTTCAGAGGCAACAGAGAGGTTCTGCTCTATCATACAAAGTGTAGGGGATACGGCTCAAACCCCCCTGCCTCTGCCCACTAAAAACTGTCTTCAACCAGACAGTTGGCCAGAACCCAGAACTTAAAGCCCCTACTCTGAGAGTTACACCACAAAGTGAAAGACAGGCAAAGTAAAAATAGAAGAAGGAAACAGAGACATAAAATAGAAAATAACTGGTGGGTAAATAGGGAAGAGAGGATAGGGAAAAAATAAGAAAAGGAAGGAAAGGAAAAAAAAAAGGTGTGACGGTTGACAATAAAGAAAGAAGGATGGTGATGAAGATCTGACATCAGAATTTATCCTTCAACCAGCTAGATGATAGCTGCTAGAAAAATAGGTACAATGAAAAGGAGGAAAATGAGGCCTAAGGGTATGATTCAATGGTATAATGGTTGTCTAGCATGTCCAACATCCTGGGTTTGATCCCTAGCCCCATTAAAAGAAAAAAAAAAAAAGCAGGAAAAAGATACACAAATGGTAGGAAAGAAAGTAATGAACAGAAAATGGTAGATAATTCTACTAAGCCAACTAAGGAGGGAGAAACTAGCAGGAGAAAGAGAACGGAGAAGAGAGAAAAGATATAGGTAAGAAAAACAGAACAGAATAGGGAGGGAAAAGAAGAAACAGGAACTGAAAATGGTACTAAGAAAAAGGGGGGCTGGGCACTTAGCTCAGGGGTTCTGTGGCCTGCCTCACAAGCACAAGGACCCGAGTTTGATCCTTGGTACTCCCCCAAAAATAGAGAAAGGATTCAGGTCTTACTAAATTCTTATACCTTACATCTTGCTTTAGAGCTCTGGGACACTGGAAAAGCCTAGGCTCCATTCTATCCTAACCCATAAGCTCTAGAGAATTCCTTTAGTTGATCCTGCTTCAGAAGGTGTGGCCTACAATGGTACCTTCTGCTCATCCTGGAGGTCTGAGGTCACTTTAACTCCTAAGTCTGTTGCAGTTCAATTCTACAAATTTTTTATTGTTGCCTCTCTTAGGAGGACACTTTGACTTGATCTCTAAGTAGGGATCAAGCTCCAGCTATGTTCATTATACACCATGCTCAACAATCTGAGTCAAGGGTTAGAGGTAGGTTCCATTCCAAATCATCACAAGGGAATAGAGATATCTAGAGGAAGGCCCAGGTGTCCAACTTTGAGGGGGCAAGGTATAAACGTTCCAGGTAAGAGAATGATGTACTAAGGAACCCAGAGCTCTGACTATGGAGGTAGAACAAGCTCCCTCTGAAACCATCAGTAAGACTTTAAATACCTGATCATCAGAACAATATGAGCCAGTAAATGGACCACTTCCAAACCTATCAACTTGCTAAGGCCCAGCTGGGGATACCTCCAGGCTATGGCCTAAGTTTGTACAGGAGATTCTACTCACCAGATCACTGACAAGTGGCAATGGCTTCTTTCTTCGTAGATCTGGCATGCTGTCAATGCCATAGAGCCCTCCAGCTGGCCTGAGAAGAAAAGAAAATATGTCAAGACCTTCAGTCCTGCCTTGAGTTACTGGCAGGTTCAGTGTTCCATTTTCCTTCCTCTCCCTCTCCCCAGAGAAAGACTGACTAACCTCTACCATGTGCCTTTGATAGGGTTAAGGGAGACAGCAAAGGAGAAAAGTAAAGCCAAAACAATAGATTCTGCTCTCAGAGTGCCCCTCACTGTCTTCTGTGGTTCTAACCAAGAACCAAGATCTCTTTTATCCTACCAGGACAGTTCAAGAAACTTCTGCTAATTTGAATGTGCTTTGCTGCTAAAAGCAAGGTTGAAATTGGTGGTCAACAGGGCTCCTGCCACATACAGGCCTGAGACACTGCTTCCCAAAGATAAAGCTTGCCTGGCCTGTGCCAAAACAGAGCCTTCTGGAATGCTCTACAGGAAGAGCCTGCTGCTTAGGTGAGCAAGACTAGCAGACAATGACATATAGGAGACTTTCTCTACCCAAGAACAAATGAGTCACCAGTCATGTCTGTCCAAGTCTCCTGAAGAAAAGGGTCTTCAAGGAGAGAGAAACCCTCATTATCAAGTGGAGGCAGAGGAGGTGTGAGGGGGTAGGTATTGGGAAAGACCATTTAGAAAAAGAAAATAGCAAAAGGACTCTGAGGAGTCTGGCCTAGCCCTATGGATACATCAACAGAAACCAGAAAAAAAATATAGATAAAGCAACTGGAAATTTCTGAAATTTTTACACCTTTACTATACTTATTAATTTTGTTGTTGCTGGGCTATCCTTCCATAATGGTATGCAATTTAAAAAAATCAGAGGATGTCTTTCCAAAGAACATCAGCACTACACTGAGATAACCTACATTTTAGCTCCATTTTTACTAAATCTCTTCATGTCTTCTGTCAATATTCCTTCTTCTCTTTGAGCCTTGGTGTCACTTCTATAAAATGAGGTGGAGGGCCAGGGATTTAGCTCAGTGGCACTGGGCCTGCCTTGCACTAGGCCCTGAGTTTGATCCCTGATATTGCAAAAACAAAATAAAACAAAACAAAAACAAAGGGCTGGGATTTAGCTCAGTGGTTTTGCCACCTGCCTTGCAAGCACAAGGTCCCAAATTCAATCCCCAGTACAAAAAAACAAAACAAACAAACAATAAAAACAACAACAAAAATATGAGGTAGAAAATCTCTCTGGCCTTTTGGATGCCAAAACTCTGAGCCTTAATGAAAAGAACTCAAGTTCTAGGTTTTAATGAGAGAAACAAGGTGGGAAAAGCTGAGGGAACTGTGTTTTATACCACAGTTGATCTGAAGAGAAGTCCCAGAAGATTAAGTAGGTACTTCAAGAAATATAGACAAAAAAATAGAGCCACAAACTAGGTAAAGGCCAGAAGCTACAATGGTAAACTCATTATGCTGATTTCTAATAAGCTAGCTCCCTGACTATAGGCAGTGGACTTTGTCCTTTAGTGAGGTTATCAGGCTTAAGAAAGCTCTCCACTTGTGACAGGTTGCAAGAACTAAGTTGAAGGAAAGCAAGGAAGACAGAAAGGAATTATTTAGAAAACTTCTGAATAACTCCATTTAAAAATAATTTGGATATGTTCTAGTGCATGTATGTATTTTATAATTGTTGGAAGAAAAAAACATGTTACAAGTTTGTAGCCGATTCTAAAAACTACAATATGTACCATGTAAGTCAGGAAGCTTTTTGCAACTTAAATGATCTGAAAAAGAAGGGGTAGTTCATTCACATGATTAACTCTTGATTAATGACCAATAGCAAAATAAGGAGTATGTAAAAATATGGTACAGAGCTCAAGCTCAGTGGTGGAGTGCTTACACAGTGTGCAAAAGGTCCTGTGTTCAGTCCCCAGTCACATAGACCCACAAAGACACCACACACACACACACACACACACACACACAC